GATTAAGTAAATTCCCAACACTAAATATGCAGATTAATAAAGATTTAGGGGATAGATGTGCTATGTTAAATGTTTTTCCAAAAAGAAGCTTTTCATCTATTTACTATTAATTTATTTGTTCTACAATATCACAATATTTCTTGCTCTAAAATTTCTGATTTAATCAACTATAGACAAAAAACAAAAAATTAATCTAAATTTTTGTAATATAATTTTATATATATTATATATAGATAATGATAATGATAATGATGAAGAGTCCTATTAACTAAAAAAAATCCATTATATAACAGACAATATTTCAAACTTTTGATTTTTCAAGTTAGTTAAATAAAACCATTTTTTGAATTGAAAAAGGATAAATACCTAAAGGAGATTCTTATTAATATTAACTCTATCATATCTACATGTCCATGACTTTGATGATGAAGAGTTCTCATTTACTCTCTTTGCTTCTCATTCTTCTTCCTCTTCTTGCTTCATGTACTACTGACCCAAAACAGGTAGGGCATCTCCAGATAGAAAGACTTATTCGGTTGCGTATTTTTTGTTTAAACTAACTTCTTATTACTATTCTTAAATCTGATATTTTGCAGGTTTATATAGTGTACTTTGGACATCATGGTGGAGAAAAAACCTTTCAAGAAATTGAAGAAAACCATTATTCATATCTTTCCTCTGTGAAAGAGACAGCAGAAGATGCAAGATCTTCTCTTATTTATAGTTACAAGCACAGCATCAATGGCTTTGCTGCACTGCTCACCCCGGACGAGGCCTCAAAACTATCCCGTAGGTAAACATGAATATATGGTATGACTATGTCAATTCTCTCTCATAGTTGTATCATTTTTGTGGTCTAACAGAGATGGAGGAAGTGGTATCTGTTCTTCGGAGCCACCCAAAGAAATACTCTTTGCATACTACGAGGTCATGGGAATTAGCAGGTTTGCAAAAGTGGACGAGGCCACACCACTTGAAGAAGGAAGATCTATTAATGAAATCAAAATATGGCAATGATATTATTGTTGGCCTGTTGGACAATGGTATTTTAATTAACCCTAATATTCATTAAATAATTTTTGTACATAATATACATGTTCATCAAGATTGTTATGTTGCGTATAATTTTTTCAGGAGCGGAGCCAAATGAGCGGTGAGGGTAGCATATTTTGTCCCTTCAACATTTTTTCCATCTCCATAGTTGAAATTCTGACTCCACAACCCATTTTGCTATATTAAATGTAATGTGTATATTATCAGTAGAGGAAAATTTAATTTACTTTTGAACTAGTAAATGTGGAGCTTTTTTATTTTTGGAAGGAATAGAATTCAAAAACCTTATTAGATGGTATTTACATGACCTTCTTTTTTCACCTATGGAGAAATTTATGGATCAATTACAATGCTTTCTTTTCTCTC